TTAGGAAAACCATTGTAACTGATGTGTGTTTGGGATCTTCGTGTTGTTAAAATGCCCAGATTGGTGCAAGGTATTATCATCGGACCCAAACTGTCACCCTCAGTCATGCTGCATTGCTCAACGACAACCCACAAATCACCAAATCTCAAGACTTTCATAAACTGGAATATGCTAAAATAAGTGTCATTTTCCATAATAAAGCCATTTTAACATAAACCGGGAATAAAAAGTTTGCCAACCATGAAAGAACACCTGCTGCAAAATCAACAACTTCAACCTCTGAGTCGCTGCTGCCCACATGGATAATCTAAATTTAGTTTAGAGGAAAAATACATTCTTTGTCAGAGGAGAAAAAGATTGAGATGATTATCCACAGTGAGGTTCTGTTTCAGGTGTTAAACACCTATTGCATAAAGTATATGGGATAAGTAAGAAGCTGGACTACCTTCCGGTTCTTCAGTATCACCTCAAATCGACAACTCGGTTAAAGTTTGGATGCTGCTGGATGATCAAAACAGGGTTATTATCAAATAAACATCAAAGCTCAGAAAAGATTATGAAATGAATAAAGGAGGCTAACATAAGGTTTCTGGAAAAGGGCACCAATATCTCCTTTTTTGAAAAATTATAAATTAGGCTTATGAACAGTTTCTGATAGGGACACAAACATGAATCCACAGTCTTTGAGTAACAATGGTCTTATCTCCAGCCAGAGTCATTAAGAAGGCTAGCTAATGGCTGCAGTCACTCCCTAAGGGTCATTCAACCCAATATTATCGAAGTCTAGCTATGATTTTTTTTCCATGTGTGAATTAGAGAGAAACACATTATCTTCTTTTTTTTTTTTTTTAATATCACAGTTCTGTGTGTACTATCATTCCATTCCAAAAGTGAACATTTCTGAGAGATCATTTAAAGTTACAGATGGCATTCATACCAATGAAGAGGTTTTGCAAATTTCAGTATTAGTATTAGATGTGTTAAGTATTAGATGTCATCAAAGTTGGCAATTATGGCATCTTATTTGTTAAAATAACTGCTTAGCAATGTAACATCGACACTCACTAAAATTTACTATCATTTTATTTCACCCCATTTTCTTTTCTGCAGCAGAAAATTCATCATGTAACATTTACACTGAATTTGAGTGTGGAAATGGAGAGTGTATCGACTATCAGCTAACCTGTGACGGCGTGGCTCACTGCAAAGATAAATCAGATGAGAAGATGCAGTACTGTGGTAAGATAACCAGCAACAACACTTTAGGTTCATTTGGATTCTGACAGATTTAATTTAAAAAAAATAAAAACACTAGATGATGCCTTGAGTTTGGACATGATTTTAAAGGAATTAAATTGTTCTTCAGACAACAGGACCTGCCGGAGGGGTTTTAGACCCTGCTACAACCAGAGATGTGTGGCCAGTGGTCGTTTCTGTGATGGGATCGATGACTGTGGGGATAACTCGGATGAAGCCTTCTGTAGCAGTGAGTTTGCAGCTGTTTGATCTCGCGCTCTATCCTGCCTTTGAGGGCAGGATCTAGTCACACTCGTGCCTATGTTAATACAGCTCACGAGACCACACGCTGTGCTAAGCCCTCGCTGCTTAATGAGCCCAAAGATCATAAGGAGTGCACAAATTAAAAGAGACGCCCAACCACTGCCCCCTGGAAGTTGCTTTAACAATATTTGGTGTTTTTTTTTATTTTTTATTTTTTTTTTATTTTGCTGGTGGGACTATGTCTTTGAAGGTGTGTTTTTTTTTGTTTTTTGTTTTTTTCCTTTTCCATTTATGTTTATTTTCATGCAGTAATTGATGAGAGTGGGAGAATATTCAAGCTTAGAGATTTTGGCCATGCTGACTAAACCCACCAGGAGATACCAGTGGGTTGATAATTAATGAGGATCGTCCAATTGAGCAATCTGGGATTTTAGTAGCCAGTTTATCACAGTATGCTGTGTCCATTACCAACCTCTTGTTTTTTCATTAGTACATCAAGAACCTTTTTTTTTACTGACCAACAGAATACATAATTATGCTGTTATGAACTTATGTACAAAAATAAAATTAATCTTTTTTATGGACTTCAAATCAGAAGCATATGCGCAGTTTTACTGTGCAGGAATCTCATTCAATCTTTTGTTTTCTGGATTTCTCAATGATATAAATCCCTACTTACACAGACGCAGCATTCTGAATCAATATTATTTGTAAACAGATTAAAAAGCATCATATGAGCAGGGAGAGCAGGAGGGGTTGGTAAGGGATGTGTGTCTTGATGCATACATTTGTAACCTCTATCCATCGTGGCCAATTTAGTTTGAGATGGGAAACAGCTTTGACTATCAAAAGAACTGTCACACTCAGGAGAAAAAAAAGTCAGATGTCATGAACTCATCTCTTTTCAGGCTGATTTACAGTGAGAAAAACATCCAGGAGAATCAAGAGAAAAATGTTGTAGCTTGTCAAAGGACAAACTGCAGTCAGCTCAGGTTGAGCACTTTCAGGTTACCATTGCATTTTAGTGTTTCACACACAGCAGAGAATTCACCTCAGTGTTACTGCTAGTGTATATTTTAACGCCTGATGTCTAGACAGAAAGAATAAGGTGGTAAAAAAAAAAAACTACATTATGTAGAATAAATAACTAATAAATACACGAAAAAATATAAAAGTTCTCCTCTTTGTGTGCATGCATGCATGACTGAACACAGATGCACACATGCAACTGTTCTTGTGTGTGGAAGAGGCCTGACTACATGGGTTACATGCTCTAACCCTGGGGCCACCATAATGCCATGTTATCCAGATTTTAGCAAGAATGTGTGCATATATTTAACCCTGTATATATTTATATGTTTTATCTTAACCTCCACGCCCAAAAGCCAACAGTTAAAATGAAGTACTGGAAATGCAAAATGAAGGCATCATTTATGACATAAGTGTGTGTAAGCTTCTGAGTAGATATCTCTTTGCTGAGTAGATATCTCTTTACTGTGTTTTTCTGCAGTAGCATACATGATTTGACATTTACTATTAAAGCTGTCCAGCTGCACAAACACTGAAGTCATAAAAAAGATCATTCTTCTGAGCACCTTGCTAATTTTTACTACAGGTTTGAAAGAGTGGTTTTGAAAATGACATGGGAAAGGTCCTGTTTTTATATATATATATATATATATATATATATATATATATATATATATATATATATATATATCAAATCTTCGTTTGCTCCAACAGATACCACATGTGGCTCATCTGAAATGTCTTGCAAGGATGGGAGCTGCGTATCCGTCTCAGCTTGGTGTAACCAGGTCATTGACTGTGCCGATGCCTCAGATGAAAAAAACTGCAGTAAGTGGTTCCTTTTTTTTTCACCACAGCCAAAATTAAAATGCATACTCATACACGCAGCTGCTTTTCTAGCAAATCAAATATCCAGTGATTTTAACTTTAGATAGGCCAGATTCAGTGTTTCACTCTTCACGATCACCTCCCACCTCAGTGGCATTGTGACAAGGCAGTCATTCTAGTGATGTGTTTTATATTCAGACCACACCGATTGCTCTCACTTTTACAAGCTGGGGGTGAAAGAAAAGGATTTCATCAGCTGCAACTCCACCTCGCTGTGCATCCATCCGTCATGGACCTGTGATGGTGCAAATGACTGCGGAGACTACGCAGATGAAACCAACTGCCTGGGTGAGCTGCACAAAGACTCACGTTTTTCCCTGTGAAATCAGAGGCAGGTCAGGGAAGCCGGCGTCAGTTTGAAAACACTCCATCTCATTTTTGGAGATGATTATGGCAGTGAAACAAGGGATTCAGAGAGAACTTGGGAGATGATAATGACCTCAATCATTGCTAAAGCTCAGCGGATTGACTTGATTTTGTTGTATGCCCCAGTTTCCCACGGGCAGAAGTGCGAGGAGGGCCACTTTGCTTGCCCGAGTGGGAATTGCATTTCTAGTGTGTGGCTGTGTGACGGCCAAAAAGACTGTGAAGATGGAGCAGATGAATTCCAGTGTGGTAAGTCAACATGCTTTAAGTCTGAAAAATGAAAGTGTGGTGTTATAAATGCTTCATGTTCACAATATATGTATTATTTTAACTAACTTGTGATGAAGTTGAAAGTGATGATTTCAGTAATTTTCTACAAAGAAATGTTGAAAAGTTTAGCGTGCTTATGTATTATGACCCTCTAAGTAAATACCTTGTACAACAGCCTCCAGTCCTTCTTATTAATTATTTTATCTAGTAATCTTCACAATTACAGCTGCCAGTTTTTAGGCTATATCTCTACCAGTTTTGTTCATCTTGAGAATTACATTTTTGCATACTTTAATTTACAAAGTAGTAAAAGCTCAGTTTATGTTATGCTGTATTTAGCTCCGTCCTTCATCCCATTAACTTGGCGTAGCTTTTCTTTCCCAGCTTCAGAAAAGCATCTCCACAGAATTATGCTGCCAGTATTTTATTATTTTGTTCTTTGCATCATATTTGATACTGCATTTCTCTTTGCACCTTATGTGTCAGTAGAGCAATTTGGTTATATTTCTTCACATAATACAACGGCAGTAAACATTTTTTATCTTATCTTTGCAGTGGGGAAGTTGTGTTCAGACCAACTTTGATTTTAGTTTGATTTTAGTCTTATCAGACGATGTTTGCAGCGTCCTCCACAAGTCTTGTTCCAAATAGTTCCTCACTGGACTTCTCAGGACTTTCTTTCAACAATAGCTTCTTTCGACTGAACATCCATTGAGGAATTACTCAGTTGCCAGATGTAGAGAAAAATCTCTGTTAAACATCTAAAAGATTCACCTAAAACTGTATTTATTATGAAATTAAATTATACACTCTGCATTTGACATTTAAAGGCAGTTTTATTGAACTGGACTTGATTTGGAGGTATCAGGGTGACTTTGTGCTTTGGTTTTAGGCGAACGTGAGCTGATTATTCTCTGAGCATTGTATTCAAAGCAGATAAGGACATGGGAACACACTCAAAGGCCGGTTCCAGGGAGGAAAGGCGATGAATTCAAAGTCAGACTCAGTTTTATACAATGCAGTGATGTGTAAACAGGATTACAACAGTAGGTCAGTTCATAAGATGGCAACTAGTGTTCCTGTCGTAAGTAGATTGACGCAATTACATATTATGAAAAGATTATATGTATGCCATTCTGAACAATTGGTTTTACATACTGCCTGGTACATGAGTCTGATGTGAAAGGGTAAGCCATGGTGTGTGTGTCCACATGAGCTGTCCCTGCTTCAGTGTGTGTGCTGTCAGCCAAATGACCTTGCTGTCTACACTGCCGTATTCCAGTGCAGGCAGCAGCTGCACTGTGTGATACCACATCTCCTCGGCATCAGAATCTGACCCAGTCACCCTGACCCGACCCGTAGAGTGTCTCAAATAAAAGTATCCTTACCCCTGTAACTCACACGGCTTTTACCTCAACGGTGGTTAATTGGGGCTCAATCCACAAGTGAGGGACACTTTCCAGAGATTTATTTATTAGAGGAAAGTGATATATAATCCCATAAGATTTTGATAAATCACACTGAAGTTGTCTTTATAGTGTGATAAAATGTGGACTAGTTAAAGGAGTGTAGTTACGGTACTGACAAGAACCCTTACAGTGTCATTGTGTCCTAAAACGGCGATATTTTAAGTTTTTTACATTACCATTCAAATGCACTTGTATGATATTCATAAAAAGCAATATAATGGCAGTTTTAGCACTAAATGAACTCACCTGATCACATTTTGTCTGGGTTTTTCTGTGTTGTCGCATCTGATCCAGAAATGTGTGTTGGTTAGTTGATACCATTTGTCAAAGAAAATTATAATTATAAAGAGTTTTCATCTTTGACCATCACAAAAAGAACAGTCATTTTCTTCTGTCAATGTTTGTTTTTTGTCTTTAAGTGAGCACTGGCGCTTGTTTGAAAGTCTAATTCTGACCCTGGATATGACACACATTTTTCGACTTCTCTTTTTGAATTCTAAAGTACAACACATCCAGCATAACAGTTAATTAACCACCCATCAGTCTATGAAGCAGTTATACTGCGCATGCAAATATAGGTTCTCTGAAAACGTGAAAGAATTAGGCTTTACAATGCCACTCAACTCCTTCCTGCACCCCAAGCAAGCATTCCTGCTTCTTCTTTCATGCATGCTAATGTATGTAGAACCTGCTATGACAAAGCCAGGATCTCTCCAATTAAACAGTGGAAGCATAATTAAGTCAAGGCACTTGATCATTTTAGCCCAAAAAAACTCAACAAGCATCTGCACACGTACTCAGTCACACGGCGGTAAGTCTCGCATCAAAGCAAAATGAGCTTAGTGCTTTGATGTAGGTGGTCAGAGTTGCTGTTAAACTCTATCACCATCACATGTCTGCAAGGTAATTGGATTTGATTTATTAATCCATATGCACACATTTTGAAAAAGAGAAAAACGACCTACGCTTTGAGTTTATTGAGTTTAAATATAAGACATTATGGAGGTAGCAGTGAGGAATATTGCTGGTCTGCAGAGTGAAAGAGTATTGCATCACTTTTTAATATACAACTTCAGCACAACACAATATATAATTTAATCCATATATTTTCACTATTGAATCTAATAAAATATCTCTTTTTGCTAATGTAACATTGATTTAATTTTAAGTAGTTGTCAACCAGTCAAATGTCCAAACTGATTTGAAATGTAAAATCTGTCAATATTTCTTACCTGGCTTGTTGTAAAATAGATGAACTTTCTGATCACAAGAAGTTGTTTTTGTCATGCCAGATAAATGTTTGAGTTTTGAACCAGTTTGGGAACATGCATTTGTCCCTCTTCCTGAATCATCTGATAAAACTTGTCATCATCAGATAACAAAATAATAAAAAATAGCTATGATGCTTAGGTACATCTTGCAAATGAATGTACCTAAAAAGCATTAAGCTTCTGGTGTTGCCCTGACCTCAAGTGTATTAAACGCTTCTAGAAAATCCTCTTCATGCCAGAAAAATGAGCTCTGCTCCTTCTGAGAAGAAAAAAAAAAAAAAAACTATCCCAGAAGTGTATTGACGGCAATATAAAAAAGCAAAGCAAAACAAAACATGCGGTTGGGGTGAAACTTGCTGAATATTTATGGTGGTATATGTGTATAACTGAGCCTGTAAGTATTACGCTGACCAAATAGAGAAAATCTATGATTAATTCATACTTTTCATCCAATGTATGAATCCAAAATATCAACTCCAGAAGAAAAAGAAACGTAAATGTTGTCAATAAAGCCAAAACATGACATCAACATGAACCGATTTAAATATACCCAAAGACATTGCATGGAAGCTGCAAACCAACAATTTTAGTCTGACGGCAAATAAAAGGCACCACAGAAAGTTCAAGACTGTCTGATTTCTGTCTATCTGTTCAAATGACATGAACACATTTCTTTTTTTAATATTTAGCTGCAAAGAATAGACAGAAGGAATGCAGTTTACAACATTTTTGTTTAATGCCTTTTAAATTCTGACTTATTTTGAATATTGTCAGTCTTGGTTCTATAAAGCAGCATAATATATAAAGACAATTTTCATTTTTTATCAAGAAATGTCTCTTTGGCCTGTTTGTGCTTTCATAAAGACTGTTGTGGATTATGCCCCACATCTCTAAGATGTTCTTTTCTTTTCACAACAAACTGACATTACTATTCCTCTGGTTTAGTTATCATATAAAAAGCCCGAGTGACAGATAACATGACTGCGAAAGCATTGTGGTTTGAGGGAAATGTCTTTGCATTTCAGAGATTTCAAGTTCCACATCTGATTGGACGAAATAATCATTTCTACCCTTCACAATGAATAATGCACTTTTCTACTTCGCAATTCACTATTGAAAATGAGACATGAAAGGCTTCCTTTGATGCATTTAGTGTGCTTTAGACCTGCTATTTTGTTGTACACTTCAAGCAGCTGTTCACATTTGAAGTGCAAATTTGGATTCATGCACAGGATGTCTGGATAATCTGAGTTTCCAGATTTAGCAATTCAATGTTTATCTCCACCCGTATCTGACATCCTGGTATGAGGGCACGTAAAGATAGAGTGATGCATAAAGTCTGTCAGAGGGGAAACCAACTCAGTGGGAGCTATTTCTTCCACTGCTACCCCCCACCTTTAGTTGGATCCATAATTCCCTGTGCTGTGGTCTGACCTGCAGCACACATCCCCCTTTCCTTCTCTCAACATCTTATCAAAGCTTTGGCAGACTTAGCCCAGCCTGACATCTGAGAGAATGAGACCACAGAGCAACTCCCCAGGGAAAGTACGAGGCTCGGTGACACAAATTCAGCGCTGCTCATGAATACCGTATATCCAAGTTTCACACAATGGCCATTATACAGCAATCAGCAGAGTGTTCTCTTAGACGACATTCAGCTCCTCCCTGTCAAAAATAAATGAGAACATTCAACTAAACCAACGCGGATGTGGATGAACTATTCAATTTCAGTGCCTTACAGGGGTATTCAATCCCCTCAACTTTTACCACCTTTTCTCATAACTTCATGGTATTTTAGTGGATTTTCATGATAAATTGGAAGAAATTATGTGGTGAAAGAAATCTGATTCTTTAGTTTTAAAGAGCAAATAATATTTCCTTTCAGCCTCCGGTATGAATTAGTTGACATCGTAACCTTTTGTGGTAATGACAACTGCAAGTTGTTTGTGGTATATCTCTATCAGCATGTATGGAAAAATTGTCCTTTTTTTCACAAAACATCTCCAATTAGCAGTTTTCAAGAGGAAAAAAACTCACCACCATGTTTCACAGTAAAAACTGTTTTCTCACAGTGATGCGCATTGTTAGTTTTTAGATAGTTCAGAAGTTGAACTATCAATCTCATCAGATCAGAACACCTTCTTTCACTTTTTTTTCCTGTTTTTCCTATCACTTATTAAAACGGCAACTTGGTTGAACTGAAGTTTCTTTAGGGAGTCAGAGTAAAAAGGTTGAATACAAAAACATGCCACACTTTCAGAACAGCAGTTTGTAGCAGTGTGGAGCAACATGTAATTCTATGAAATAAAATAACACTGAAATTTAGTTTTCCAGGAAAAAAATATTTTCAAATTTGCTTTTTATTACAGTGTGATAAAATTAGCAGACTCAAGGCACTACTTTAACTGTTTCTTTTCCCAGCACAATAAACTCCAATATTTCTTAGTTGGAAGACGGTGAAATAAAACTTCCATTTGCAATTCTATAGATAATGGCTGCTACTTAATAAGAAAATCTTTAGCGCCAAACAATAAAACTAAGCAGCAAATGAGAGCCAGCCCACTTGTTGTGTTTTGACCAAAGTATTTTTCCCTCTATTTTTGTTTCCTTTTCCTTTTGATTTATGGTGCTGAATTTTCTTCCACTACCTTCCGCAGACTCATCCTGCCTGTGGAACCAGTTCGCTTGCTCCAAGAACAAGTGCATTGCCAAACAGTGGCTGTGCGATGGGGAGAACGACTGCGAGGACGGACTCGACGAGAGTGTGCAGATCTGCGGTTAGTGCCCTTTCAGATGTCATGAGGGCTCTGCTATTAACATAAAAGGTCACATCTGCCATGTTGCTTGTTGCAGCTTCGTGCATTCCAGAGGCAGAACTGGAAATGAGACGGCCTTAATGAGGCAACAAATGAGACCGCAGGCATTTCTGATAATTCGAGTGAGCACTGAGGCAAATAGATTTTTCATCACCAAGACCCAAGAGGCATAGCTATTTCAGTGGGAAAATGAGATGTATGTGTAATGAATTCTACAATAAAACAAAACCAGCCATGATAAAGAGACAGAAACCACTGCGAACACTGGTGGTGTAATTTCAATGTAATGGAGTGTCATGGAAATATTAATGAAATGGTCCAGAGGTCTCCAAAAGCACAATTCTTGTCAGAAGCATGATGGGCATTGTAGGCACACATGCCTAATTGAACTGCAGTATTTACCTTTGTTTCTCAGTGCAGCTAATTTTTCTCCCTGTCAGTATTTGCCTTTAAGGGCAGTGCTAAGAAAAAAGGGGTTAATATTGCTGATGTGCAGAATTCGCAAAATAATTATTATTCATAAAGCACAGTCAGTATGTTGTTGGCACTAAACAAAGAACTGCTGCACCGAGAAAATTACAGTTGGTTCATAGGAGGATATACTGTAAGTAAAATACATTTAGTATATCATCTGTTTTGCAAATTTACGCAACTAGTTTTATTTTTAAGGAAGGTAAAAAATTTAGCAACACCACCATTAAGTTAAGCAGTGCTGACCATGTTCAATGCCCCTCCTTCTCACTGAAAAACATTTAAAAAGCCTTAAAATTACGCGTTATTGCAGTAGTATGATTTAAATTTAGAAAATTGCAATTGTTAATCTCTGTATATTTATCAATTAGTTCAACCAAAAAATAATCCTATTGCCACATTTGTTTTTGAAGTTTACATTACTAGTAATCCACAATTTCTTTGTTTCCCCACCGTATAAATATGACATAACAAAGAGGCCAATTTCTTTAACCCACTCATCTGGATGGCAAGAAACTACATAGAAATCTTCAAAAATCACTGTGGGAAATAGCATTTATTGGATCTTTGACTCACAAAATCTTCCTAACAGCTATTCGCCTCATCTATATGACAACTTGTTTGGGAGCAATGCCAGAAAAAAGCCCTCTATAGCAAGTTTAAATAAATTAAACCTTGTATTATAAAAGTCTTAAATGGGAATTTTCATACATGCACTAAATGTTCTAAGATAAAAGCTTCACTTTATGAGATTATTATTGTTTTATTTTTTATTTTTTTGTGTAAGGTTAAGGTAAAGCAATAAAACTTCTGTACAATTTTAAGCTTTCTATAGGTGTTTACCAGAAGTGCTAATAAACAAACATGTTTCTTTTCTTTGAAGAACCAGGTCTTTTGGTATTTAGAAGTAGATGATGCGGTCTTGTTTTCTTCTCAGGCACAGTAACTTGTGCTCCAGGGTTATTCAGCTGTCCTGGATCGTATGCCTGCGTTCCCAAACGTTGGCTTTGTGATGGTGAGAGGGACTGTCCTGATGGAAGCGACGAACTCTCTCCAGCAGGCTGTGGTGAGGTTCCTTCTTTTAGTTCAGTACAGCTTTATTATTTTTTATTACATTTCATTTCTTAAAGATTAAACAAATTTCAAGCCACGGTGCAAAAAGGATGCATACAGAGAGAATTAGTGGGTAATTGGATAATTAGAGGCTTCTACACAAATACAGCCATCACTTAGTGGCGTAACCAGAGTTATTACTTCTTTGACTCAAATCCACTTAGCAGGGGAGCAACAATTTAAAAAAGCATAAAAGGCAAAACACTAGTTTGTAGACATTCCCTGTACCACAGCAGGAAAGAAAAAGTTTATCCGTTCATTAGAGACTGACTGTTATTCTTTCGGCCATCAGCACCAAACAACACATGTGATGACAACTCATTTCGGTGCCACAACAAAGCGTGCATCCCCCAGCGATTCGTCTGTGACCATGATAACGACTGTGGAGATGGATCTGACGAGTCCGTGGAATGTGGCAAGTAGATTTATCTTGGTCTCTCATGTTCTTCATATTTAACAGTGATAAATGAGAATGGCTCTTTTGAAAATTGCAGTCGGTAGGTTGAGCTGTTAAACAGCAATGGTGGACAGATTTCTGAATGTAACAGTGCATGTAGTATTCAGAAATGTCTAAATCTGACCTTTCACCCACAACTCCTACTTTCCTCTACAACAGTCCCCAACAATCCTTTGTTAGTGTCCTGACTCTTGAATCCTTCAGTTTCTTTATGACTTAAGTGTTACCCTGAAAATAAGGGTTGTCCGTGATTACTCACTACTAAAAAATAAAAATTCAGATGAGCTTTTAAAATAATCCCCAGGTGGTTTAACCTGCCTACTTAAAGTTCTCAGGATAATTACATATCTGAGAACTTTAAATAGGCAGAATATAACAGGTCCATTCTACAATAGTCTGTGTCTTCATACAGGCTGATCAGACTCGTAACGACTTCAGATCCATAACACACACTGTATTCTTCTGTTGTTCCACTGATGTTCTGGTTCAGTTTGTTTAATATCCAACCGATCCCAAAACTTTAACTTATACTTTTTTCATCTGCTAAATCGCCTTTTCCTCAAATTCGACAGAAATCATTTCAGTATACTTCTCAGAGAGTAGGATATATTTTGACTTCAATGTTTTAAGCACCTATTTCTTATTCAATGCCAATGTCAATGCCAAATTTATTTATATAGCACTTTAAAACAGGTATAAAACTGCACCAAAGTTCTGTACAAGAACAACAACACAAATGACAAAACAGAGTAAAAACAATACATCAATTAAATGCCAAAGAGTAAAAATGAGTTTTAAGAAGTGATTTAAAATGATCCAGGCTGTGGGCAGATCTAATCTGGAAAGGTAAGTTATTCCATAAAACAGGAGCAACAACAGAAAAAGCTCGATCTCTTTTCCTCTTAAGTCGAGTCCGAGGAACTGTCAGTAATAATAACTATTCATTCATTCACTTTTACTCTTTTGTTGTAAAATTTATATTATGTTTCTTTTGTGTTTCTTTTAGTTAGGAAATATTCCTTTCTGTCATTTATAGTGTATATAATCTGTCATTGCATGTAATGTTTTTGACAGATGAAACAGAAATCAGTTTTCATGCCGTTATTACATTTAACAAGAAAAACAAATCAAACTTTGCACATGTATAACTGGAACAGGTGAAAAAGCAGAATAATAGGCCAAACCCAGAAGCTGCAACAGAATATGTGAACCCAAAGTAATGTTTTAGTCACAGATCTCTATAAACACATCCCATTGATGAAATACTCTCTCAAGTAGGAAGTGGTTATTAGTGTCTGACCAGTCACATCCAGTTAACAAAAAAGTATATAAAAAATTCTCCGATACTCGAGAAAAATATCTTCACTCTATTTTGTAAACTGAAATATTAAAATCAGTATTTGCAAAGGTCACCCGCATCATTATGTAAATATAAAAAAGTAACACTGAAATAAAGTTAATGTAAAATAGAAAGTTGCAAATAATCTTTCCAAAAAATTCATTGCGCATTACAGAAACATAATTCAAGATCTAGTAGGGAGAAAAAACAATATCTCCTCGCTTCTTGAATTTATTTAGACTGGCACACAGTGTCTTGTTTCTGTTTAATCTTTTAGTTTATCTCATGTTGTCAGAAAGGCACTGTGTAAGTAATGTCTTATTTCTACAAGTCTGTCTCTGATCTGATCTAACTTTATTTCTTTAAAGTTCTAAATAAAAGAAAACAACTTTCAATAATGGCAGCAGTGACTCAATAAAATCTCCTTCGAGATTTCTAAAATGACAAGACTGCATGTTTCTTGTGTTTTGCAGCTGGTTTGTTATACTAATACTTCATTGACAAGAGACACATTTGTATCAATGCTTGCGAACATGCTGACACCCGGGTTTTATTTAGGCACATACTGTTATGGAGTACCTCATGTGGAGGGAATTCTCTGTTGCTGCTTTGATTTACGATGACTGACCAAGGAAACGCATGTTTATTCTTGAAATGTTGGCTGCTGCAGCTGTGAATGCCATTACACCTCCAGATGGCTTGAATTGTTGACCAGCAATGATTCCATTTACACTCTGATAGTGCCTCATTATGCTATCAACAGTGGTCATGCAAATCTTTTTTTCTGTAAATCTGTTTAACATAATTGACACTTAACTCTGCAAAGGTTCCCACCAAACCGAAAGCTCTGAAACTGACAAGTCCGAGTGCAAAGCGATGAGATAGTGGCTCGCTTTCTTTTTTTAGTCTATCGCTCCTGTGGATCTGGGGAGTTTCGCTGCGGGGACGGCCGCTGTCTTCTCAGCTCTCAGTGGGAGTGTGACGGCTATGCGGACTGTCCCGATCACTCAGATGAACTGCCGCTGAACCTCAAATGTCTTGCTGCAGGTAAGGCTGCTGTTTGGCTCTCTGTAAGAATCTCTTCATCAGTGTCACCAGCAGCATCACTCGCCAAGGAAACCGGTGGATTTATATGGAGGAAACAAAAAGGCCTCTGACTTTCTGAGTTTAATTTATTGGCTATTATCCAGTGTGAGGGCAGTGACTTTTATGAGCTTTCATGAGTGATCACAGGGGGTTGTGGGTATGATAGTTTTTCTTTGTTCTCTTCAGGAAGCTTGTGTAACGGCTCCTTCTTCATGTGCTCCAATGGCCGCTGCATATCTCAGGGGAATCTGTGTGATGGGAAAGATGACTGTGGAGATGGATCAGATGAGAGGAACTGCAATGTGAATGAATGTTTGAACCGCAGAGTCAGTGGGTGCACACAGGACTGCCAGGATCTCACTGTGGGCTACAAGGTAAGTCAACAGAGAACTTGTAACACTGCTAGGCAATATCTTTCTAAAGTATTCATCACCCCTAAACAGTTTTACATGTAATCATGCTACAACAACAAACCTCAGTGAATTTCATCAAAGGTGGATTCACACCAGCCTCGATTAGTTCGCTTTAGTTCTTTTGCCTAGAAAGTCCATTTCATTTAGTGAGGTGTTAATCCGCAATCGAACTCTGATGGAGTCTAGAAAGGGAATTTTAGTCCACCTAAAAACAAATCTGGATTCAGCTGAAGTGAACTCTTTCTTGTGTGGTTTGACTGCATGGGAATGCCAAGCGGACTGGAAAATAAATACAATCAAACAAAATGAATACGTTTGTTTTGGAGATGGCCATCAACGACAAAAAAAAAAAAAAAATCCTAAAACCACTAAAATTTGACAATACTCCTTTTTTTGTTATGATTTTGTGAAGAAGGAAGTGGCGCTCTCTCAGTGTCTTCTTTGGAGGTTTTTTATGTTGTGTCCTTCAGTGGTTTTTGCTGCAGCGCCGCCATAGGTGTGAGGGTGAACAAGGTTTGGTGTGTTTGCAGCATGAAACTGAACTGCACCAACTGAAAATGTAACAAATGTTTATGTGTCCTTCACATAAAATCCAAATAAAAGTCAGAGGAAAAGGTTCGAGTGGTGTGAATACCTTAGCAAGGCACTGATTGAAAATACATTACCTATCCACATCTATACTTAAACAAACTAACTCTGGTTAAGTAAAAGTAAACATGGTAAGAAACAAATATCTGTTAATAATAGGAAATCTAGCAGCTCAGTCACAACACAGCTAGTATATCCATCAACATCTTACCGTGTGACTTGCATTCCAATAGTCGGGTAAATCACTACAGTGCAAAATTTTAATTAAAAAACTTCCCTGACCTGCAGTGCTGAGCTGCAGCAGCAACATTTCTAATTCACTAGCAGGTGCGATGCGGGGCTCATATCAGTAGTGGTGTGGACATGAATGATTAATGACTGATAATAAATCAAGTCTTACTTTGCACACCATTAAACAGATAAAGATGGGTTGTAGCATATATGTATATATATTTATGTACATAAATGTTCACTCTCGCTTTGTAACCTTGAAAGCCTGTAGGTGGAGGTGGGTGGGTTAACGATAAGCCAACAACTGTCTGATCCACCTCGCTTCCTCTCTGTGCCATGTCATTGTTCTGCTTCTGGCAGCACAACAGTGGCGTTTTGATATGAGGGCTGGCTCCAGGTCAAGGCCGCAACCGCTGGAGTGTTTTGGTGGTCATCCTGGTTGTCAGATTGTGGCAGTTTTAACCATTCATTCCTGAATTTTATTGTTGTGTTCCTCTGCGGGCTGGTGTTTACTGCTTCAGAAATCGCCAGAAAGCACAAAAAAAGTGCTGCCAGCTTGTCACGATGGCGGTAGATCTGGACAAAGAGCACATCAATGCGAACCTTTAGCTCATCCATTTGTGGCCTGAACAGGGAGATCAGCAGAAAGGCCGTCAAGGCTATAACTCCGGATAAGAAGAGGATTTACAGTTGGTGCAGAGCAGCTGATACAAGCACTCTTAAGTTATTTTTTCGTTTTGCATTGGTCACTGAGTTGGTCACTGAGGTGAGATTGAATCTTTGAGCTACGGAGCAGTATGTATAAATAGCTCTGGAAAAAATTAAGAGACCACTGCACTGAACCCCATAGAAAACCTCATGGTTATTCCACCAAATATTGATTTCTGAACTCATTAGTATTGTTGTTTCTAAATGAACATGAACTTTTTTTCCCTTCCATTATTTGAGGTCTGAAAGCACTGCATCTTTTTCTTTAATTTGAACATTTCTCATTTTCCACAAATAAATACTACATTTTTGCTAGGAGTTTCAGAGGAAAGTTGTAAGTATTTCATATAATAAAAGAACAGTGTTCATATTACTCAAACATGTGCCTATAAAAAGTAAAATCAGACAAAACTGATCATTTTAACTGGTCTCTTAATTGTTTTCCAGAGCTGTATGCATGCACGTGTCGTGGCTTTAATGACATGGTATGTTAGCTTTCCTGCTTTGCCGGATTTCCCTATGAAACAGCGACTTGCGTAAAGAGTAGATGCGTTCACTTTTCATTTTACACCCTGTAATGTGCTGTGTTAACATTCTGCAAAAGAGATA